ACTCAAGATCATGGAGGGGTTCGTCAACGAAGAGGCCATGTTTACGTTCGATCTACCAGGCTATGTCGAAGACGAAGTAACCGAGTTCATAGTCGAGCGAGTCGAGTCCAAAGATCCACCTGCGTTCGGCGACTTGTTCATGGACGATGAAGTGGCGACCGACTACTTAGGCCCGCCTATACTCGACGTACAACCCTATGGTAAATTTAATGGAGCCGAAGTAGTCGACATCGAGGAAGAGATCATGCTCGAGGTCGATGAGGACCGTGATTGGTATGTGCGTATGGTCGGAGATGATGTGCCTGAGATTTGGATGGTCGAGGACGAGTCCTTGAGGACAAGGACATTCTCAAAGGGGGCGGGAATGATGCGGAAGTGGGTTCCGAGCCCGGACGACAAGAAGATCCAAGAGGCGAGACGACCCAAAGAGGCTGGAAAAAGGGCCAAAACGATGCATGCATGGCCTAAAAGACAGGTACGAACTCGTATGTGGGGTACTCACGCACATGAGAAGCGGCGTGTACAAGGCAGTAGACAAGGGCGCGCACACGCGCATTGGCGTAGACGCGCATGGCGCTTGATGGTTTGGCGAAGTGGTGCGCAGGGGGTGGATGTTGGGTGGTTGATGCGCGCGAGGGGTTATTGTGGATGGACGAGCGTGGCCAAGGGACGAATAAGCAAATGGCGCGCATCGGGCCATGATGCGCGCAACGAGGCTACAAGCAATGGCGCGCCTTGGGCGTGGGATGGGGCGTGCGCAAGGGCGCACGAGTGCGACGCGGGTGATGTCCTAGACCACGTAGGCATAGGAGTGCTAGGCGACGAGTGCGGGGCGCACGGCGACACGCGCGAGGCACAATGCAAGACTAGGGTAGTAAGCCTAATCCTCGTAGGAATAGGCAAGGCGCGAATACTAATCGCAGGAATAGGAAAAGCAGTTGAGTGCCGGAACGCCCGTGGGAGATCGGTGACAGAAGTAATCCTCGGAAGATCAGGAAACGTAACCGGGAACATATTCCTAGTAGGAATAGGAATAGGGGACATGGGCTCGAAGCACAATCATACAAGGAATAGGAATGGCGCATGCGGGGCGCGAGACCTTAAGCCTCGAGACAAGAGGAAATACACGCATGGGCGAAGGCGGTGCAGCCCTAGTCCTCGAGGACTAGGGCGAGGCGTGAGGCGGCGCGCGGGTTTGAGGCGGCTAGGGCAAGAGGCGGCCAACTTGGAGTGGGGAGCAAGCAAGAGGATTGGAGTGCAAGGCAAGGAAGATCAAGATTATTATAGTAGTATTAGGATTTTATTACCATGTTGCTTTTCATTCTAGAATTAGGAGATCTAATTAGCTTAGGCTTAGATTTATTTTATGCACCTATAAATAGGGGTCTCTCCTCATTGTTTTTGATGTCTTGGATTTGATAAAATAGAAAAGAACGTTTTTTCGAAACCCTGTGTTAGGATTCGTGAGAGTTCGATCATGCAACCGAATTGGTAAGGCTAAGACCCAAGCCAGTTCAACGATTTTGAGAGGCTAAGACCCAATCTATTTCGAGAGTGTAGCGAGGCTAATACCCAAGTGAACTCAAGTATCGTGAGAGAGTTAGGCTAATAACCGAGTCGATCACACCTATCGTTGAGAGCAAGGCCGTGGCGAAGCCGTGATCGAGACAAGTCGAGGGAACGCAACACCCGATCCGTCATCAACGCGCGCGGGCGCAGGGCAGTTGTAATATCCCGATGTTTTATCGGTATGAATTATGTTTTAGTTCCGATATAATAATGTTATCGATTATTATTTTCGGAATTAATTATTTTCAGTCGAGATTACTGAAATTTATTTTCGACGTACCGTTTACGTTCGGAATAATTTTGGTAATTAAGCATTATGTTTAATTAAATAATTAAACATAAGAAAAGGATTAATTAGTAATTAATCCTCCAATTTGGGCTAAAAGCCGTACACTTCCTAATTAAGCTCAAAATGTCGTACACAATTATGGGGAAATTTAGAGGATTTTGTTGTCCAAACCTTTCTTCACTAATAGGTAAGTTAACGTGGCATTAGGAAGTTGGTTGAGGAGATTAGTCATCCTTAAGTATCTCACTTAAGAGCAAGTGTTAAGCATCTATATGGCCACGTCCAACCTACGCCATCACCTCAAATTGGTAACATCCGCTCGGCCCTCTATATAAAAGGAGAATTTGGGAAAAATTTTGACCCAACTTAAAGCCTTATATTCGTATCTTCAGCCTCTAAAAAATCAGTATCAAGTAGTTCAGCAAAATTCCCTTAATTTTCCATACCAACGCATGGCAATTGACGAAGCATCGCACGACAAGATCGAGTATACGCACGGCACGCACGCGAGGGCAAGAAATCACACCATCTTTCGATTTCAGCAGACCGTTTGGAGAGGTAATTTCGTCTCCAACTCCCTTTCATGTTATAAGATTAAAATGTCGTGAAATGGTTCAGCTCATGTTATGAAATATTATAGAAATGCCATGATACGCTTGGTTTAGGCCAGTTTAGGCCATGACCGAGTAAATTCTCTTTTTATTCGGCAATCTTCGAGTAATTCATGTTTAAACGATCATTGTAAGTCATTTAATAGTCAATTACTCCATGTGGGTCGAGGCAAGTAACTGTTTGGTTCATGAATTGGCTTAGAGCCGTTGGAAGCGCACGTCGCGCACGCCCACGGGCTATCATATGTCATGTCGAGTCATCCTTCAGTGTGATCAAGATCAGTCAAGTAATTCATGTTTCGTTTGACCTTAAATGGGGTATTATTCGAAAGTTTTTCAATATTGTTCAGAGGAAATTCATGTCTGGTCGGGGGATTGGCCGAAAGCCGATCGTGCGCGTACGGAACGCGTACTTCGACACCTTAATCAGCAATAGATGTTAAGTTTGAATTAAGTCAGCAAATATAGTCATGTCAGGTTATAATAGAGTAAATTACATTGAAGTTGTCGGAAAGAAACGCCGGACGACCGACAAGTGTTGGTTGTATATCGCTCCCCACATATCGCGGTAGCAGCGTACCGGCAGGTGTGCGTGGTGCAGGTACTGCGCGGTAGAGCGCCGCGTAAGGATGGTACCCGCAGCAGATAGCCGTTGGCGATGCGCGTGCGTACGCCAACACCCCGTCATGCATGTCAGCATGCAGTAACGCACGACAGCGCGCAGCAACGCGCGTTCAGTGGTCGCACGCAGCGTCGCCTAGTGCACGCCGGCGACTCGGTAACGCCCAGCGGCACCGCAGCAACGCGCCA